AGGGTGACCAGAACTGCATACAGTACTCCTGAAGAGGCCTCACCAATGTTCTGTACAACCTCAACATGATGTCCCAATTCTTGTTCTTAAAGGTCTGAGCAATGAAGGCAAGCGTGTTAAATATCTTCTTAACTACCCTGTCTACCTATGATGCAAATTTCAAAGAATTATGTACCTGAACCCCTAGGTCTCTCTGTTCTACAATGCTACCCAGGCTGGGACTTTTTTCCCTGGAGCATAGGAGGCTGAAGGATGACTTTATAGAGATTTAATAAAGTTACAAGGGGCATAGATAAGGTAAATAGCCAAAGTGTTTTCCCCAGGGTAGGGAGACCAAAACTAGAGGGCATAAGTTTAAGGTCAGGGAAGCAAGATGTAAAGGAGACCTGAAAGGCAACTTTTTCACATGGAGGACAGTATGTACATGGAACAAGCTGCCAGAGGAAGTGCTAGAGATGAGTACAATTACAGCATTTAAAAGACATTTGGACAGGCACTTGGATAGAAAGGGTTTAGAGGAATATGGGTCAAATGCAGAAAAATGAGACTAGATCTGGAAACCTGGTCAGCATGGACGGGTTAGGCCAAAGGACCTGTTTCCCTGCTGTATATCGCTATGCTCTAAATCTCTAAAGAGAAGAATGGGCAGCCACAAAAGATGTCATTTTGACCATTAGAAGAAAGACTGACACAAGTTACTGAAGACATCTACCATCCATTCATTACGATACATTATGTCTCATTTCAGGAAATATAATGAAGCCAAGTAATGTGCATACAATGAGCGACACATGGCTCTCACAAGTCTACGATAAAACATCTTCAAAACAAGGAAAAGGCTCTGGAATGATGCACAGTCCAGAATTTGAGATCCAATTTGAGTTAAATTTGTTCTTTGAGCTATCTGTACAACAACTTTCACCCACCATGGTGTAGGAAGAGGAAACTGACTGGAACGGTTCTTTGTTTTGTTTTCCTGCTCAAGTACACTTCAAGAAGAATCATTCTAAAGAGTGGCGACATGAATGCCCTTAAAAACAAATATTGGAATCCTGTGTACCCATTTTCCTAACTGAGGAAATCACATAGACAATGACCTGACCATGGAAGGAAGGTGTTGTATGATGACCAGATGGGTCTGTACCTTTCAGAGAATTACATGACATCATGATACGTGACATTCGGTATAAAAGTATTCACCTCATCTTCAGTTCCTGTGTCATGGGGTCAGTCAGTGTAGTTTCTTCAATCAACCAGATTTATGTATGCATTGTACAGTAACATAAATAAGCACAGAACTTAAACCATGTGATATTGTTGCCATGTAAAAAGTGTTGTTAATATCTCTCAAGACATCCGTCAAAACAAGGACACAACTCTCTGTGTTATATGTTGTGTGGACTAACATAGTTAACCATAAGGCACATCAGAAGAGAACTGGATTTTGGAAAAAGCGTCCCATAAAATATTTGAAAATGTCTATTGCGTTATAGAACATTCAACATCAATAGACAGAAACTATTAATAACAACTATTTCATACTTCCTTTCTGTCAATGTGCTAATTCTTTGAATATTTTGAAATTATGTATAAATTTCATAGAAATTGAATTTATGTTTGCAAAGGTAGAAGAAGGATGATGACAGGATTTTGTTGAGATTGTAAACATTATCACTGACAAATACGTTGCCTCCAGTGAACAGCTAGTAAATGATCCAAAGTACTAGCCCAGGATCAAGTCATCAGAAACTGTCACTACTGCTCACTTCATGCTCTATAGTTCCTTACTATAAATCCCATGAATGGATTTGTAAGATGATGGGATATTTGTAAAATAGCTGATACACTGGAAAATTTGGTGATGTGTGCTCATTCAGAAGAGGATGTTGGGTTCCTTCCTTGAAATAACTCAACAGCAAACCCAGAAGCTCTCCTAAGAAAAAGGCACCCAAAAAACATATATTTTAAAACTTCATTTGCACCACTTTTCAGGGTGCAGGTCTTGATCATGTCCTGTCATTCAAGGGGATCCATCTCTATCAGTCTTACCAAGGCATATGTGGTCCTAGTACTTCCATCGTTCTTTGGGTCCCATTGAATACCCAGTACACGGGATGTCTCCAACACCCAACCCAACATCTAATCTTGTATGACAATGGCCTATTTGGAGACCAATGAGAAAATTTGGGGGAAAAGTTGTATGCAGTATAATCTAACTTTGTTTACAGTAGCTCTGCAGGAATTTACAGCAATAGTACAATTAATTTGTTTTCAGACCTAACTGCTTTAATCAGTATGGAAAACATCCAATCATGAGCCATAAACAGAAGTTTAAACGTTGCAATTTCTGAAAAGCAGACGTGATGGTTTTTTTTAGACGTAGTTCCATAACACAGGTGAAGCACCCAACACCGAATCAATGGAATCAGGTTGAAGGTTCATGGTATCAATGAAGTGAACTTTGGTACTTGGAGAACAAATGAAATAAATGTGAGATAACATGTGTCTAGCATATTTTGTAACGTAGAATGAGACAGATTCTGTCTATTTGTGCATAATTAGATTGAACAAAAAAATTGTCTCCAACCATGCTGGATGTGCAACCTGATAACATTGATTCTGGAGCCTTGGTGTAGATATTCTTAATCAACATATTCAGACCAGCTCTGGAGCAGGTGTGACTTGAACCTTGCCATTCTAACCTAGAGGTAAGGACACTACCACTGAACCAAAAGAGTCTTTCATGATGTTGGTGTATAATGCTTTAAGCAGTGTATGTCCTTGACAAATTGGTTTAAGGGATTAAGACTTAAACAGAAAGTTGACTGAAAAGGAGGCTGAGTTGAGTTGGATGAATTCAATATCAAATCACTCGTAAAAGAGAAGTATAGAGAATAACAGATTGCATTGAAAGAGAGAGAAAAAAAGAACAAAAATGAAAAATATAAATAGTTTTAAAAATTAAAATTTTAAAATCTGAAAGAATTCACAGTATGAGACTTCTCACTTTTAATTCTGTACCTTCCAACACAGGAGCTTTTTAAAATTCATTCATGGGATGAGGGCATTGTTGATGAGGCCAGCATTTATTGACCATCTCTAATTGTCCAGAGGCCAGTTAAGAGTCAATTATATTGTTTTGAGTCTGGAGTCACATATAGGCCAGGCCAGGTAAGGATGGGCAGTTTCCTTTCCTAAAGGACATTGGTGAACCAGATAGGTTTTTCCAACAAGTTGTTTGGCTTATCAGATACTGTACCTAACTTTCTGTCATGAGTTCAATGAACAATTGTTCATAACTCCAACAAATTCAAGACATTCACAGGGAGATTGTGCATGTGATATCAATTTTCGATAGGTAATGGTGGAGCAATTAATCAGGACAGCAACTTGTGGCCAGTCACCTTTCCTTGTTACATGTTATTAACCAGTTTTTCATGAATAAAGGCATGCATCATTCAGATGCTATTCTTTTCCATAGCAAAATCTGTTCCATTGTGTTGAAACAAAATATTGCAATTGTCTAATATGATGGTCAACGATTAAAATATTTCTACATTTGCCTTTTACGTGGGAATCTGTTCAGTTGCTAGGAGGCAGAACAATGCAGCTCAAGTTAGACAATTTATATTAAAAACAGCCCTACAGCATGCAGCTCAAGCTCAATTGTATTCAGTAAGCATCAGGGTCATCGTTTCTCGGTAATGTTACAAATTTATACACTGGTCCTAAATATGCTCTTGGGTGCTTGTGACTTTCCAAAGTAGTTTGTGCATTTTAAGATGATTAAAATAAAAATCCTTATTTTATTAATGAGTGAGAATGTTGAGTGGTAGTTATGCTTAGGTTAATTTTGTTTAATCATTACAACTTTTCTTTACATTACAATACAAAATAATGACAATGTCTCCCACATCAGCAGTTACGCAAAATGCCTTTTAAATTTCCTTCTCACGATAAACTTTTGAGTTTTACAAAACTATCCTTCAAGGATCGTTGGGTAAAGTACGATTGATTTTGCAGCCTTTGCCAACATTGACTTGTCTGTCTGTGTCTCGGGTCTGGATTTAATGGAGGTGATGGAAGTCTTACCCATCAGTGGGAGAGATCTTGAGAGAACTACACATCACTTTCTTTCAGAGAACGCCCGCCAAATTCAGTGCCATTCATGCACTTAACTGCACAAATGCAGGCTTTCCCCCCAGGGTTAAGGACACCAAAGGTAGATGTCCCATCTACCAGTCAATCAGTGACCAGCAGCTCTGTTGAACTGCAGTATCATGAGGGAAGCTGCAACTGCCATTGCACCCCACCCAAGATCTAGGGCCATTATTGGCTATCAGGAAATGTGTTTTTGGGAATTACAGGGGAGAAAGGTTTGACAGCAAGGTCAACAGAGTAGGTCTCAGCAGGTTTTCTCTATCCAATCCCGGGTACATTGTTCAGTCACTGGGTGACTTTGAATGAGGCACCTGTTTCAACACCCACCACACTTCTAACTGATTAAATTTTTCCCTCTGTATCTGTTAAACAAAATCATGCACGTGTGAAAGGGACTGTTTGCATTATTGCTCAACATCAATTTCCTCCTGTGCCCTCATACCTTTCATTCTTCATATTTTTGTCTAGTTAAAATCTATTCAATTATAAATATAAACAAGATCATTGAAAGATACCACGGTGTAGAGCTGGATGAACACAGCAGGCCAAGCAGCATCAGAGGAGCAGGAAGGCTGCCGTTTTGGGTCTAGACCCTTTCCTGCTCCTCTGATGCTGCTTGGCTTGCTGTGTTCATCCAGCTCTACACCATGTTATCTCAGATTCTCCAGCATCTGCAGTTCCTACTATCTCCAAGATCATTGAAAGGTTTATTTTCAGAAGGTAGAATTCTCTGCAAAAGTCAAAGGGCTGAAGATTTCTACTTTTTTTAACACTTCTGTCATAATCATTGAGAAAGTATTAATTAAATATCCCTTTTCTATTTCAGGCATAATTCCTACCTTGTGTGTCAGAGAGTGCTGCTTGAGGTGATGGGGTTGAATGAATTCCATGCCACATTCAGTGCAGATATATGGGCGGATATCTTTGTGTTTCATCATATGATTTTGTAACTGACTTGGATACTGGAAAGTCTTCTCACATTCATCACAGCGATATAATGTAGGACCACGGTGTGATGTCAAATGTCTCTTTAACTGGGCCAGGGTAGGAAAGTCAAGTCCACACTCGACACAAATATTATCTCGACCATTCTCATGCTTGGTTTCATGGGCTTTGAGTTCACTTGGATAAGCGAAACCCCTGCCACAAATGCTGCAATTATATGGTTTCACATCACTATGTTGCATCATATGTCGTTTGAGATGGCTGGTCTGGGTGAATGCTTTGTGACAAACATGACACTTGTGAGGTCTGGTACCCTGATGCGTCAGCATGTGAGTATGCAGATGGCTCAGTTGTTTGAAGAGTTTTCCACATTGGGAACAAGCGTGGGGCTTGATACCACTGTGTCCCAAAATATGTGTCACCAGGTTGTACTTGGAAGTGTATGACTTCTCACACATTCGGCACTGCCAGCGTTTCTGATTGCCACCTACATCGACATAATAACTGTCATCAATTTGAATGTTAACATCAACCCGTTCAACTGTGTTCTTCTTTTCTTCTCTACTAGGCATCCCGCCACTCAGAGTTCCCAGAGGACTATTCTGATGAAGAGGATATCGAAAATGCAGATTTGATGGTGCCATAACAAAAGGGAACATAAAGTCTGGAGTGACATTAGAAAAGTATGATCGAGAAGGATGCATCATCAGAGGACTGGTAGGCCACATTAAGTTATGTTTAATAGACTCATGTTTCAAGCCTGTGGTACCCAGGTGATCAAAAGTTCTGAACAACTGAAACCCTACATTACTTAAGTCAATCATTTGAGCCATGGGTTTTGGCGACGGCAATTCCACTTTGATGTCTTCAGGTTCATTGATTTCTTTTGGTAAATCTTCTGAGTGAACAGTATGAATGACTTTGGTGGGGGTACTTTTTCTCTTACGTGATCCTCCTTCCGAATGTGCAGTGAGCCTTTCTATATTTACTGCAGATATGTTATTTGTAGAATACGTAATTCCTGATTCGTAGTCTCCAAAACCTGTGAATTTGTTTGGTTTAATGGTCAGTGGGAGAGGCTGCGTTGTGAAGTGTGGAGAAGTTGGGATTTCTTTCATATCTCTGGAAATATGAATGTCATCACTGTATGGATCAGTCATCTTGTTCTCCATAATGTTCACTTAGCTGATTCCCTTAAATTAGAGAAAATAACATCAAAAATAAAATCTTTCTAGTGAAATGGGTCTTCAACAATAGCACAAAAGGGGTGATTGAAAATTAACCACCTGTTTGACACCCCAACAAATTTCTTTTTATACAGGCTTTCTTATTTGTGATTGAGTCTTTACCTTCCTCCTCCAATAGCTTCACATGTCTGGATATTCCCGATGGGAAACCCATTGATGATATGAGTGCATTCAGAAGGAAAATGAAGCAGCAGAATGGTTACTAGAAAGACTTGTAAAAGCCCAAGTAGCAATAGTAAAAAATAAGAAAAATCAAGGAAGAAATTTTCAATTCATGTTCCTACCATGCCCTTTTATATCCTTTCATATGATATTTTTCCCAATGGAGTTTCCCAACCTTGTGTGGTTCATTTTATGTGGGATGTGTACACCTGCCACAATAGGATACAAAGGCTGGAAAATGATGCTGACACTTCACTGTCTTCTGAATATCATTACAGAGCCGACTTTGGCAAAGGAACTGTGCATCATGTGTAAATATGATGGAAAACAGGCAACGTCATTCTCCACTTTTCTGCTAACATCATGCTGCTCCTTGCTTTGGTTCACATTGGGAATGGCAAACACAAATAAAAGGATGCAATAATTTCTATTCTGCAAAACGTACAAATTGTGCTCTGACTATTTGGAATGGCTGAAAAAGTATTACCTTGTTTACCAGATAACCAGCAAGAGAGATAAATTGTGACCCTACCTTAAAGAAAAGTGAAATTCAGTTCAGGTAAGTCAGATTTAGATGACTTGACTATTTATGCCCCCACAATGCATCAAAGAACTAATATGTGTCCATTCCGCACTTCAGTGCTGAATCAATGCAAAAGGCTGCTTCCTAGATTCCTTTAGTTAGGCTATCCTTACTTTCAGGATAGGACATGAATCATCTGAATAACACCAAATTTAATGTTTAATAAATTTAAGCATTTAATTGCAATTTTAGCAAGTAGCATTATTAAGTAAGCTTGATCATATTTCTTTATTGAAGAATAAGTAATATTTTGTGACATTCTTCCTTTAATTGCAGAGAACATAAGAACATAAGAACATAAGAACTAGGAGCAGGGGTAGGCCATCTGGCCCCTCGAGCCTGCCCCGCCATTTAATAAGATCATGGCTGATCTTTTTGAGACTCAGCTCCACTTACCCGCCCGCTCACCATAACCCTTAATTCCTTTACTGTTCAAAAATTTATCTAGCCTTGCCTTAAAAACATTCAGCGAGATAGCTTCAAACTGTTTCACTGGGCAGGGAATTCCACAGATTCACAACCCTTTGAGTGAAGAAGTTCCTCCTGACCCCTGTCCTACATCTGCTTCCCTTTATTTTGAGGCTATGTCCCCTAATCCTAGTTTCACCTGCTAGTGGAAACAATCTCCCTGCCTCCACCTTATCTATTCCCTTCATAATCTTATACGTTTCTATAAGATCTCCCCTCATTCTTCTGAATTCCAATGAGTATAATCCCAGCCTACTCAGTCTCTCCTCATAATCCAACCCTCCCAACTCTGGAATCAACCGAGTGAATCTCCTCTGCACCCCCTCCAGTGCTAGTATATCTCTTCTCAAGTAAGGAGACCAAAACTGCACACAGTACTGCAGGTGTGTCCTCACCAGGACCTTATACAGCTGCAGCATAGCCTCCCTGTTTTTAAACTCCATCCCTCTAGCAATGACAGACAAAATTCCATTTGCCTTTTTAATTACCTGCTGCACCTGCAATCCCACCTTCAGCGATTCATGCACAAGGACACCCAAGTCCCTCTGCACAGCAGCGTGCTGCAATTTTTTACCATTTAAAACATAGTCCATTTTGCTGTTATTCCTACCAAAATGGATGACCTCACACTTATCAACATTGTACTCTATCTGCCAGACCTTTGCCCACTCACTTAGACTATCTATATCCCTCTGCAGACTTTCAGTGTCTTCTGCAGAGATGGAATGCGAAATACCATCATTAAAGGTTAAAAAGTAGAGATGGGAATTTTTACAGTAATATTTAAATGTAATCTGTGACTTAAGTTTTGGAGTTAGTCACTTGAATAAATTCTTCCTGAAAATATCTCAGGGACTTGTGCCTTGTGGTTAATGGATAGGCATTGGTGAGACAGCATCACATTTTATTTAAAAGAATTTTCATTCTTGCTTAACATGTGTGAATTAAGAAACGTTACTTTACATTGGGAGTTCATAAATGGCGAGCCAGTTGGTGAGGGAAAGTGTATATGTGACTAAACATGAATAAATCATTCTCATCTGTGAGTTCAAAATAAAGTATGTTTGTGTAAAAGCTGTTATAATAATGGTAAAAAATGGACTATCAATCTTTGACTTCCAGCATCAAAATTTTAAAACTTTCAATTTTGACAAATACTATGTTTAAATTGAAACATGCTATAGCGGTATGCTAAAAATAGTTAAAAATTTGGTTACAGCCAATCGAGAGGGCTAAGAAGGACTTAAGGGGAACTAATTCACCTTCCTCACCAGAGTGTCACAAAGTCGAAACATCAAATGGATTGTAAACAGTGTTTGTTTATTGCAATTTGCAATATGGATTCTCTTGTTCTTTACCCTTGATTGGTTCCTTTTTGGCTCTTCTCCTACCAAGCCATGTACATCATTAAACAACAGCATGACTTGGGTTTGGGGGAGAGGGGAGATGGTAAGAGGAGGAAGGGTCAGGCACCTCCGTGGAGTCCTGAGAAGAGGCTTCTGGGGTCCTTTGTGTCACCCTGACCCCGTGGGTGACCACTGGCACCACCCTGTCTCCTTGAGAGGAAGGGGCATCTGGAATGAGGTCCAGATCTCTCGGCCCAACCACCCCCCCCCTCACCTTGACATTGATGCTGAGTACCAATAGCTAAAACTATGGATTGTGCGTTCATATGCCTATCTGGCAAACACAGTGTGTGCTGGGCCTGGATCTCCATGGCAGTCATCAACCTGTCCATGGAAACAGCCAGACGTAGAAATTTCAGATGCAGCATGGTACTGAAGATGTGGACCCTTCCATCTTTGAAGCCAGCTTACTAAGTGCCTCTGACAAATTTCGCTGCTGTTCCCTGAGCCTCTTTGTGCATCTTGGCGATGTCATTAATGACCAAGACAATGGGATCATCACCTGTCCAAGTATGAGAAGGTTCCTGGTCTCTGCCAGTCCTCTGAGTATTGTAAACCTGGGCAATTTCTTCCTTGACCAGCTGCAAAGACATGTTCAGCAAGGCTGTGCTCCCAAAACTAAACTAGATAGAGTACCCACGGAAGTGAATGTGTCTGAGCTAGTGAAGGCTGAAGTTGGTACATTCTCTGAGGGTTCATTGGCTTCTTCTCCGATGGAGCAGAGTTCCTCTCGAGGATCTGTGCTGGCAGCATTGTGCCAGCATGAGAAAAGAAGGGAAACTAGTCGTCTAAGAAGGGTAAAATTTTGTGCAGTTTAAGAATGAGTTAATACTGGTTTTAATGGGTGAGCCAAGTGGTACAGTATAATGAAGCTTACTGGGTAGTTGGAAACTTTCTCCTTATAAGGAGCGAGGAACCTAATGTCTACCACCCCCTACCAGTCCCTTATGGACCAATTCTTCCTGCATTGAGACAAAGGGGGTTGGTGGGAATGAGTTTGATGGATGTGGATAAAAGAGCACTTAGTGATGCATGGGTCGGAGATGGAGGGTGGGTGTGGTGTCCCAAATAAATAAGTACAACATGAAGAAGGCAGGAAGAGTTTGTACTTTGGAAAGATGAGGTGGGTGAGAACCATTGAATGATCATGCACTTATGAGATTTGTGTACAATGAGCCTTGGTGTGAAACATGTGCAATGACTGAGTTTGAGTGAGCAAGGCCCTGTGAATTTGAGGTGGCAGAGAGATGATGGTGACACTTACTCTTGCAGGACACAGAAAATCATCGGCCTTCTTCCCACACTGCTTAGCACTTCACGTCATCTGGCACACACCATTGAGCTGAGGTGTTCTCTGACTCTAGACTGGTTGGGTTTGGTGGCATGGTCTCCTGTGGGTGCCACCAGGGTAGAGGACTGCCCTCCCCTTCACCACCCTATCCACTGAGATCTCCAGATCCCTGTCTGCAAAGCGGAATGTGAGCTTTCCTTTCTGAACCATGTGCTCAGCAATAATGGAGGGGCACCTCAGTGCAACAGGGCAATTTGTGGCTTGCAGTGTCTGAGGAGGTCAGTAGCTGGTCTTGAAATACAGCACCAGCGGTGTGAACACAGGAGATTCCAGCTGTGGCGAGTTCTTCCACCTCTCCGGCTGCATAATTCCAAGAGCCAGTTGCATCATTAATGAGGTGAAGAAGATTGTGTGAGAAAAGACATTCTGAGGTATGGTGGATCAACCACCATGAACCTCACTTGGTAAAACACTTTAAGGGCAAATAGGAAAACAGCTCCCATAGTCCTTCTTCTACATCAATATGTTGCATGTGACATACCTGATAAATCTCTTCAAAGACTATGTGGGTTTTGTGAAGTATTCACAGTCAAAGGAAGGCATCTCAGGAAGGATACACTGACACTGGAGGCAGTGCGGTGAATGGGCACTAGGCTGATACTGGGTCTGGAGGAATTTCCTTATGAGGAGAGTTTGAATAGGTTGGTCTTGTGCTCATTGAAGTTTTGAAGAATAATGTTATTGAAACATAGAAGATATTCAGGAGACTTAGCAGGGCAGATGTGGAGAAGTTGTTTCCCCTTGTGGGAGAGTCTGGACTCAGAGTTAGGGCTCGCCTATTTAAGACACAGTTGAGGAGGATCTTTTTCTCTCAAATTCTTTACTGCATTGTATATGCCAGATCATTACACATATTCAAGGCTGAGACAGACACATTTCTAATCACTAAGGGAAACAAGTATCAGATGAGTCATAATCTCATTGAATAGCAGAACAAACTCAATGAGCTGAATAATCTTTTTCTGTCCCTACATCT